ACGAGCATCTGACAATTATACACAAGGATAATATTATTAATATAAAAGAAGATAATAATACTACCCTTAGTTAGATAGCAGGGTTTGTAAGGCACAGTCTAGAAACCTAGTGCTTTTAGTGTTGTAGTAAAGTTCTTCTGCTAGAGGAGGGGAGAGATGCGTAGGCTATAAAGTGCCTTGTTTACTTGCAGTATTATGCTAGGCTTCTAATAGCCTCGTGGCATCCTTATGTAGACCTCTCTATCCATTGTAGCATGAACAAACGCGTTAGTAACGTTGTATTGTTTAAGCTCTATGTTATAGTAAGCTGCTATAGCTATTATTATTTAAAAGGATTAGCTAGCAAGCGTGGCTATGTAGGTGTCTTATAATATAATATTGTGTTATTAATTACCTCTAACTACTAGTTGTGCCTTACACTTTAGTAGTTAATAATGTCTATTAAGCTTATAGGTATATACCTATATACAGTTAAGGATCTATTATCCTATTAGTCTAATTTTCTAAAGTAGTACTTCTAACTATAATTTTATTTCTTAGTAGCTTATAAGGTGCTCTTACTTAGCTTCTTAAAAGAATTTACCTATAGGGTAATCCTTAAGCTTAGTTTAGAATATAGGTAGAGGTAGAAGTTAACTTTAATAGGGCTTTAAGCCTTTAGTAAGTATTCTTATTATCTTAGCCTTATCTATAACTTCTCCTCTATATATTCTAATATGTCTAGCTTAGGTTCCTACAAGGAATAATACTGCCTATAGGATAGTAGTTAAGGACGCTTATTGCGTTAGAGTTATTTAATTACTTGCTATAATGCCCGCAAGTAGTGCTGCAGGTGGTAGTGTTAATAGAGGGGTAGGATAGCTATCCTGTATCTTCTGTCTGTAATAGTAGCCTAGCAGGTCTGCTTTGTCTTATAGTAATAGCTCTGCTAGGGCTTTATCCTTATAAAAGGAATCTATTTCTAGTTACTAGGTAGGTGTTAGTAGCTTAATAGATTACACATATATTACTATTTCTTTAAGTATATTATATATAAGGTTTACTATAAGGTCCTTAATTCTTCTATTAAATACTATATCTTTATTAAATATAATATCTTAAGTGCTTATTACCTTACTAAGTAATAGTATCTAGATTTAATAGATATTTAATAACTAGTAGCCTACTAGATAGCCTATCTAGGCCTTTAGGTCTAGTTATTAAAGACGTAATTTGCCTCTATATATATTATCTATTATAGCAAATACTTTATACCTATATACTCTTAGGTGCGCAAGGCTAGGTTTTTGCAGTAATATTACTATTCTATTACTAAAGGCAACTTGCGTAAAGAATATTTTGTATAGTGTTTTCTAATAGTTTGCGTAGTTTAGTGTTTAATTGTAGAGGTATACTGCCGCCCTTGTGATTTCTGGCCACAGTTCCTAGGAGAGGTTGGCATCAAGTTGCATTGCGCAAGCTTTCTCCTTGTTCACACCCCCTAAGCGTTCTGCGTTACCATTCTGTGCTTGTGTGTCTAGCGCTAAAGGCTCTATAATAATTCCTTGTGTTGCTAGCTATTTTAATACGCCTAGTTTAACTATAGCTATCTTATTATCTACCTTAATAGTCTTAACTAAGATATTATAGTAATTTTTTAAGAATAGGATAAATATTAATAGTGCCTTAATAATTAACTTTACTATGTAATAATCTATAAATTAGAGGTCCTACTATAGGCCTAAGAACCTATTAGTAATAAGTATCTAGCTCTTTTCTTTAGTAACTTCTTATACTTTATAGGAGTAGAAGTTAATACTAAGTCTTTCTCTAGGTCTATTATTATTAATTCTTAGTATATAGCTAATTTGCTGTTATAATTTAGCTATTCTATAAGTATTATATTTAACTATAGTAATGCCTTAGATCTACACCCCCTAAGTCTGCTAGACAATGTGTTTAATTGCAGCAGGACTAGGGTAACTAAGTTACTTATGCCACTATATTACTAAGGACTTCTATAGTCCTCTCTTAGTGCGTGTAGTAATTTTATATGTGTAGTTAGTAGCTAGTAGGGATAGTTTATACTTAAGCACCTACTAGCTAAGCATTTCTAATACTACTCTAATTACTTAGCTATTTACTTATTAGAGAGTTGTTAGGTCTACTTATATATCCTACTATATACCTCTATTTT